CATAAAATCCCCTCTTCTTCTGAGACAACCACATCAACAGCTCAAAATGGTGAGGCGCCTGCATTAGAAACGTTGGGTGATTCTGCCAAAGAATCTTTTGTCGAAACTTCAGTTCACTGACATCATGACAGAATCGACGATCCACCTGAAATTGCACCACTGTCCCTTGCTGAAGTGGTTGCTGCTGAACCTCAGGAAATTTCATATACAGCATCACCTGCTGTTGCAGGTGCTTGTGTTTCAGATAAAGAGAACCCCTCCGCACTGGCCAAGGGCCTATGTTTATCACTGCCCACCCTGGAGAAGATGGACAACAACCAGTTTCACGATCCTAACAGCATATCTCCAAGCTCTGTCAAGCCAGAATCTCATGATACGTCCAGTGAGATGACTGGTCAGTCAGTGCAGTCCCCTTGCTGGGAGGGTGCTCCTCGCTTAGCACAACTGCCTGGGGTAACACAAATTGTCAGGGTTACTTCTTCTGCTGACCTCTCAAATGGAACTGGCATGACAAAGAAACCATCTCCTGATCAGTGCAGTGTCATTGCCAACAGTAAAGATCTCCCTTTCTCCAATTCCAGTACACTTTCTAAGACACAGTCCAAGGAAATCTCTCAGGAAATGGTAAATGATTCCAGTTTGAATATAAGCGGTAACCTGCTCTTAAAATGTGAAGAAATTGAAGTATTGGATTTAAATGAACCCCATGGAAATGTCTTTCAGAACAGTGCTTCCCAACCAGAGATAGTGTCACTATCTTTGCAAGAACTAAGTTTAAAAGAACAGTCGTGTTCTAGCAGCAAACTAAAGATTCAGAAGACCAACAACAAGAAAAAATCTGGGGCTGAATGCAAAATACAATTAAAGAAAGCCAAGATTATCTCCCCTGAAAATACAAACCTCTCTCGCTCATCTATCAGTAAGAATTCTATAAAGTCTAAACTGAATCATTCACAAAGTGCAAAGTACAATGTTATAAAATCAATCAATCCAACCAAAAATCATAATCGTATCAAAGACAGGAACCAAAAACAGACTGACTCTTTTACTGGTGCTAATATTACAATGAGGCAAAAGAAACATCGATCTGAAGATTCTAGTATTTCAAATTCACAAAAGGGAATTTCTTCTTCCGTGTCCCAAGATGTTACATGTTTGTCTTCTGAGAACGTAACATCCAACCGAAATTCTGCTGAACCTGTTTCTTCAGGCAAGAAAATAAACTCAGACTTTGAATTTCCTTTATCCAAACCATGTTCTGTTTCTTTAAGAAAGCATGTTCAACCTCAGCATGACACACAAAGAAAAAACACATTGAGGGCCGTTAAAATTAAGGATGTTTCCAATAAATCTGATTTATCGAGTCATCAAAATAAAATTTCTTCCATGTTGACTGTTTCTACGCGATCATCCCCTCTCAGGAACCAAGTTCTAGATTTTCTACACAACCAGAAAGGAACAGATTCTTTGATTCAAAAGAAAAAGAAAATACCAACATCTCAGAGCCAAGAAAATAGAATTGCTAAACCTGGCAATCGTTCGTTAAAAGACAAAAATGTCCAACCTGTGTCCAAATCCCTCCAAATTGAACAACGAAAATCTTCACATATCAGTAACCTGTCTCGGCGAAACTGTAAAAAAGACGTTCACAACAGGGAAAGCAGCAATAGGAATTGTCAGACTCCACCTTCCAAGTCCTCTTTCACAGGTACTCCTTCCTCTTTGTCAGAGAAAAGGTCCACCTCCAGTGAGAAAAATCCACTAGAAGGGGAGATGAAGCGAAGGAATAAAGGCCAAAAACAACCTGCCCAACCTTCTGAAAAAACTGCTTCTAGTCTAAGTCGAGTGACCAGAAGAACACAGAAACTTAATAATTCCTTGACAGATTTCCAAGATGTTCGAAAGACGGCGACATCTGTACCAGAACTTGGTACCAGGTCTTTGCCTGCAAGGAAATGTTCTGATGCTTATCAGAAAACCAATTTGAAAGTTTCTCCTGGTGTTTCTACCCAGATCAAAGATTGTCTTGATTATGGCAAACGTAATGCTTTATCAGAAGAGAAGGTGACTGATCAACAAGAACAGTTACCAATTTGTCAGACCAGCCGAACTGCTACTACCTCAGAAACAAAACTTCGAAAAAACAAATCTATTAGTGGAAAGCCTACAACGAGAAATCAACAAGCATTGGGCTCTCCTCCTGTGGATCATTCCAATACGACTCCCATTCCATACCTCCGAACTCGATCCCTATCAAAAAGTGAGCTGGGAGGTGTTAAAAATGAATTTGCTTCCCAAAGTAAGAACTTGATCTCAAAATCATTGACAAATGACATTTGTTCCACATCCTCTCAAACAAAATCAAAAATTTGCTCAGAATTAATTACTAAGCAATCATTGTTAGATGAAAATTTATCTTCCCCTCCTGAATATCACAATACAGATTGTAATTTCCCCACTAACGATGACTCAACATGTTTGTCCAAGTCAGTAAGTATAGAAGACAATAAAATAAACTCAAATCTTGCCAGGTTGGCAGAATCACCTGACATATCAATCTTAAAAAATGAAAACTTAAAAGATGAAGTAAAACCCACCCCCATGTCAGGTGAATGTCACCCTGAAAGTTCTGTGACAGAATTACTGTCTGGAGAGTCGTCGTTGAATTCTGAGTCATGTAGTCCTTGTAAAACTGAAGTCACTGCTGTATCGGCCGTTACAAGCACAACTGTGACGACCTCAGTCTTGAGCCATAGTAGTAATAATGGCACTATGACGAACTCAGACCCAGTAGAACATAAAACCCCATCCCCAAATTCTGAAACCCCCTTGCAATCTGTCAACCACGACAACTTCAAACCCCGCGTATCAATAGCCACCCAAACTGACACAAGTTTTTAAAGGAGATAAAAACTGGAGTAAATGTTCCATCAGATTCTTGTGATAATGTGGAGAAAAATGAACCACTTCCATCTTCTGTTTCTTTGAATATTGATCCCCCTCTTCCTTCATCTCCCCCCACAAATACTAACCCCAGCCCAACATCTGTTGATGTCATTCCTCCCCTGACTGTTGTTGCTATAGAAGAAAGGAGTGAGGAAGTTGTCCAAGAGAAATCTCACTTGGACGCCAATCCACTGCCTTTGTCCCCAGAGATTGTAATCAACGACAACCACCTTTCAACAATCTCTCCCCCTACGGAGACCACCACATGTGAACCTGTCCAAGATGGTGAGGTGGTGCTACAGGAGAAGACTGATGACTCTGTCCTGCTGCAACAGTCTGTCCCTGCCACAAACCCAGTTGCTGTTGAGACCCTAGAGCAGCAGCAGCTGGTGCTGGACAACACTACCGACCCTAATGTCTTGGTTCAGTATCTAAACAGCTTGGACCCTTCCATACTGCCAGGAGAAGTGACGTTTGTCATCATTCAAGGGACGCCTGGTGAGGCTCTCCAACTTACAAACGATCACAACTTTATCATCGAACAGGCAGGAGCGACTCAGCCCGGTGGTTCAGTTATTTACACTGCAGTCACCCCCGTCAGACATTGCAACAGAAGCTGAGATCGTCATGACAGATTCATCGTAACATATTCTTCCTTTTAAAAGAGCAATCATTGTTTTCGTTTTTTTTTCTATTTTTTTCACTGTCTTCTTTCAACGGTGTGTGGGGGCGAAGAAGGGGGTACTTCTCTTCTCTTCCCTTACAGAATTGTTGACACGCCCAAAATGTAAGACAAGTCAGTTTTACAGGATCTTTTTATTGTTTTGTTTCTTTTTATTATCAGATTATATGCATGCACACACACACACACACATGTATGTATGTGTATACACACACACACACACAAGCTCAGGTAGAGCCAAGTCAGAATTTATCAGTGTTTAAGTAACATATATTTTTTTTTTTTTTTTTTATTTTCATCAAGAAACAAATTGATAATGGGTTAAAAAGAAAATGCAATACAAACCTAAATGCAGAGCTCAATTGTACAGCAGAGGGCTGATTACAAAGAGGTCTGATTTTACCTTGACCCCAATAGGTCCCAATCCTCTTAAATCTAAGTGGTCAGTTATGACCTCATAAATCAACTTCCTGTTCAGGATACCTTTGGTTATTTTTAAAGCAGAGATAAAGGATATATTCCAAATTGGACTTCTGACTGCAGACATAACTGGGGGGGGGGAGTGCTAAATCCCTTTGTTAGTTTTCTTTTAGTTACTAGGAACCTGTCCCTTAGTTCCTCCCTTGACTGTTTGCCATGGTGTTCATCAAATTGGAAATTGTCACTTGAAAGAATTTATTTCAATAAAGAAAATGTTCTGAAACTGAAAGAAAAAAAAAATTCCTGGAATTCATTTTTACCAAAGTTTATCGAAGAAGAATTAATTTTCGGTTGCTAAATACAGAATGTCTACATTCTTTTAATTTTAAATGTCAGTTTGAAAATTTTCAATTTGTAAATGATTCTTTGGTTTATGGCTATACCACACTAGAACACCAGTTCTCATCTGATCGCCAAAGTTAAGCAATGTCAAGTCTAGTCAGATGGGTGACAGTTGGAGAGTCAAGTTGAAATTCCAGTCAGGTTCATTACATTCACTTGTGCACAAATACCCTTTGGGGTGGGGTGATGATGAATCAAAAATGGACATGATGGCTCAAGTGTGTGACACCCAGCCATGCCAGCATGTATCGGGGCTAGTGCAGTAGGGTAATAGGCCATTCCTTCCCATGAATCTGGTCAAAAGGCCTACACCCAACAGAGGACATTCACAAGCTGACAAGTAGTAACAGTTCTTTACTTCCTTTAGGCCAAAAGTCATCCCCCCCCCCCCCGGGACAAAAAAATAAAGTTCGGTCTTAAACAATGCAGGCTGGGACAGAACTGTAGTGTCAGATGTTAGAAAAATTACTTCCTAGTTGTTGCAGAATTTGATTTTTTTTTTTTTTTTTTTTCCTTTAAATCAATGTTTACTACTCTTCAAAATGGGGCTTATGGCCATATCTCAATTAAACACTGGTTCCCACATGATCATTGAAGTTAAGCAACATTGAGTCTGGTCAGTATCCAGATGGGTGACTGCTTGGGAATATCAGGTGCAATCTTGTGTGTGTTGGTGGTGTAATGGATAATGGCTCGGAATTGTTAATCTGATAGCCGAGTTCCAATTCTTGTTAGGTTCGTTATATTCACTTATGCACTAATATCCTTGGGAAAGGTATGAATCTATTTTTCTCTCCCCCAGTTATGGGTTAATTAGTAAGAGTTGTATCACTAAACAATTATTATCCCCCCAAAAAAAAAAAAAAAAAAAAAATCTTATCTGAAAATATTTTCTGGCTTTAAATAACCTGCAAAGGGTTGATAAACCATAAAAATTAATCAATCTTTAAAATGGGGAAACCTGTAAAATTTGTATCATTTCCGAAAATTTATTCCTGAACTTTGATCTCCTCAGTCTAAATCTCTTAAATGTAGGCATCTATAGAGTCATCTGTCAAAGCACTTGATCTTTATTTCTTGTTAGTTTTTAGATTATTTTTTTTTTTTATTTAGACCTAGAACAAGATTTTTCATGTTTGATATTTGGAATCAGAAAATGTTATGTGCTTGTAAAATCGGATCATGGTTTTGTTACAGAAACAATATTCTTTAGTCTCTCTGGTTTTTCTATTCGAAGAATGAATTTTGTATTTTCCATAACCTGCTTTTCCATAATGAACATTTTATTTTCCATTTCAAATTGTTTGTAATTGGAAAATAACAACCCAAAAATCTTAAGAAAAAAACATTAGAAATGAAGATAAAATTCCAGTTTAAAAAAAATAGTGTCTGTTTCTGGCTTTTATTAATATACAGACTTTTATTTCAAAGTAAGTTATGGTCAATATGTTTCTCCATTTTGTATTTTCCATAACATATTCTGTGTCATGAACTTTATTTTCCAGTTCTGATTATTTGTAATTGGAAAATAACAGCCTGAAAATTTAAAGAAAAAGTGTCAGAAATTAAGAAAGTATCTCCTTCTGAGTTTAATAGAAACTTATGCTCAATAACTCTTTCTCATTTAAAATTTTTTTTTCATAAACACAAGGGAGATGTTCATTTAAATGTTACTTTAATTAACATGTGTGCACACATACATATATATATATATATATATATATATATATATATATATATATATATATATATATGATATGGAAATGTTTTATCAATCTAACAAAGTTCTGCTTTTATTGAAGCTTCATCAGAGAATGAGATATGGACAATAAAGAAATTCTGGTATTTTTATTTTTGTGTTGTTAGATTTCCATTGGTTTAGGTTTCATGTGTATCTGACTTTAAACTCTTTAAATTCACTTGTAATACCCAGGAACATGACTGGGCATAACTTTGATTTTTACAAATGCCAACCTAATTAAAAAAGAACAGTATTCTTTATGTAGAAAGTACTTAGTGTCTACTAATAACAATATTACCAACTATAAACTCCTGTAAAGAACATTATATTTAATAAGTTTTTACTTGAAGGCATAGTCTGATAGACAAAATAAAATACTGTTTAAAATAAATGGAACATCTACTTATATATCTATATCCACTAAAAATAACATTTAAAGTAATAGAATTATTATATATATATATATATATATATATATATATAATTTTTTTTTTTCTAGGGAAATATATATATAAATTTTGGGGGGATATAGAACTTTATTATGGAAATAAAAAAGGTAAGACCAATTTTACATATATATATATATTATATATATATATATATATATATATATATAAAAACAAGCTGACCGGTTTTTGCCCTCACCCAACCGAGCTGGAATCAAGGAATAAATATCACAATATGAAAATATAAAAGACATATAATGTGCAGAATCTTGGTATTTTATCAAGAATCTCTAAAAACATAGCAGAAGCCCCAGACTATATGTGGCAGCAATATTCAATGCAAGGGTGAATGGTAGACTTATAAATGTGTAAGATAGTTTCTAAAGAGAACAATTGTCTTATATAATGATTAAAAGAGTTTATATCGGAAACATCACATGATCTCGAAGCTCGTATCAACAAACACAAAAGAAATTTGTGTTTAGACAACCCTTTAAACTCTTTCATAATACACAAGAACAAAACTGGCCATAAATTTACAAATATCAACCTAATTAAAAAAGAACAAAGTTCTTTATGCAGAAAGTACTTAGAGGGTCTACTAATAATAATATTACCAACTATAAACACACATCATAAACATATTACATCACTAACCTTTATTGAATCCATTTTTTAAAGAATCTAACGCATATTTCTCTACCACAACCAGTGTCGAGATAAAAAATGTTCCCAAATCAACATGCGGTCAACCACCAAACATAAATAATGTCTATTAAACACACAGACACTTGCAAATATACATTATCTCTAAATACCATATAGACAAATTAGTTAAGGTACACTTACATATATAAAGCAATATTTATGTTTTTTCACTTATGGTTGTAATCCATTAATTTTTTGAGCTTCAAAAAGATGCATCATCTTTCCTTGAGTTCAGAAAGCCATAAATTATATATACAGACTCTGCTTAACAAGTCAATTATACCTGAAACCTGCTTAACCAATAAAAATCTAACAAGAATAAAAATACCAGAATTTATTTTTTTTTATATCTCATTCGCTAATGAAGCTTTAATAAAAGTGAAACATGTTAGTGTGATAAACATTCCCTATTTGCTCTTTATCCTATCATTATGTCTGATTCATATATATATATATATATATATATATGCTTCTAGAAACTAGTCATGTTGGTCTTCCAAAACTGTCTTGCCTTTTTGTTGTTCATTTCTCATTGGGGAAGGTTTTGTTCCTCTTCAAGGGATACTGACCCCACCCCAATAATTACTGACCCTAGTTATATAAGGAAATTTTGCTCTTGTTTTACCAAAACAGAAATTTAATTGAAAGATCCATTGTCACCTGTGAAGAACTTTTGAAGTACACACTTTTATTTCCAACTTTTTCTCAATAGACAGGACACATTTAACTCAGTATGAGTTCACAAAATGTGTTTTTTATTATTTTTGTTAGAACTGATGTGTGTATATTATTGTGAATCCATTACAGGGACTGTTTGGTGGCTAAAATAGTTGCATATGTACCACTGGTGTGAGTGTTCTTCATACAGAAAGGTCAACCTCATTCAGAAATCTAGCCTCATTTTTTTTTTTTATACACTATTTTCCTAAATATCTGTATTTGAACCACATGATTATTTGCCTGCTTCTATCCTATACTATAGAAATTCATTTTAATTTAAAATGCGATGTTCCATTTTCATTTGCCAACGAATATCACATCCCTTTTGGCATTCAGGACAATGCTGTAACCTGTTAAGAAGTTGACAAGAAATCTGTAAGAAAAAACAAAAACATTATTTCAATGCTGACACTCTTTTTTTTTTTTTTTTTTTTTTAAACCATGGTTACCACAAGAGTTTTCAAAAGTTCTCATCTTAAGCAAGAAACTCTTCCAAAATGAATAAAAATAAAATCTGATGTTTTGTTATTTGGTCAGATTTTGGAAAGTGGGTTGAGCCAAGAACTTTTGGCAACCTTTAACCTTCATGGCCACAAAAAACAGTGTGTCAAAAGGGCAGTTCATCCCTTAACACCGTTATTAGTTTAACTACCTTCACTCTTTGGCAATGTTTATTCTTTTAAAAAACGTGTAATGTTAAGGTCAATGCTGAGTGGCTACAGTCTGTTTCATGCTCAAACAAAATCTTCAGGCTGTCTTCAGTGAAAATGAAAATTAAGAAAGTCATGTGGTTGTATAATGAAGTGGTTGTATTCTGACACGAGTTGACTTTCTGCGTATATATATATTACATTTTTTTGGATCTTATTAAAAACATGTCTAGCACAACGAATGATGGTAGGACTGATCATCAGTAGCTTTTAGTGTCTGGCCTGAAGATTGTGTTCAAGCAAGAAACACTGTCACCACTCAGTTTCTACAGGAGAGTCCATCATCATCATCATCATATATATATATATAAATAAATAAACACTAACCCTTTCTGATATTGCTGTTTTGACCAATAAATGGTTTTATCAGTGAAAAGTCAATTGCTTTACTAAACATTATTTATAACCTGGAATATAATCTCACAGTTTTGCTCTGTTTATTTTTTGACATCTTCTGAGCACAACAGAAATGTTTTATAAAAACAACAAAAATGGGGATACTCGTCTAAATAATTTGCAAACTAGCAATAATACTGAATACCAGCAAACGTAGAAAAGATCAATTTTCAATTAAATAAAGAAAATAAAATCAGGTTCACATGATAGTTGCAGGAAGCCTTGCTGCAGAGCCGTGGATAAACGGGTCAGTCTCTCAGTTACAACTGTGACTAATGATTGTGGCCTTGTGCCAGACTTGCCAAATTCTTGTTTACTTAAATGATATTTTGTATTATTATCACATTGTAATGAATCTGTTGTAGAGTCTTCAGGTTGATTTGTCTTTACTTCCAGCATAGAATGGACGGCGGCAACTTCAATAAGCAGATTAAACCATTTCATTCACAGCAACCCATGTAACACGGGCAATTCTTTATTTTCAATACATGGTTGCTCATAATTGTATTGTTCATATTCTTAGCCATATAAATATTCAAGTTTTTTAGTCATAGCCAAATTAAATTTGGGTATGACAATAAACAACATCCGTGTCTTTGGTAAGACGATAAACTACGTCCAACAGCAAAGCCTCTGGTCAGGAGGTTTTGAGGAGCGTGGAACCACCTCTTAATTGCTGGTGTTCTCAGGTCCACCCTGACCCGGGGTGGTAGCACATGTCATGGTCCCAGCTATGGGTAAATAGTTGACCCCCCCCCCCCAAACTGGGGTCAAAACACTATGAAAGTGTAAAAATAGGTTTTAATACCAGCATTGTGTTGGCATTAAATACACCATTGAGGTTGATTATGCCATAAACCAAACCAAATTAAATGCATTTATTCTTTTAAGGCAATAAAAGGTAATTTAATAACCTTAATCAAGGTCTGATCAATA